TGGAACAAAGGCACATGTCACTGTGCCCTACTCCCCATTCTATTCCTTTGCTGACTTTATAATCACCCCTCCTATTGACCTAGAGCTTTGAGGCAGTCAAAGAACTTTCAGAGTCATTATCTCATTTAATACTTATGGAAGCCTGAGTAACACTCATGAGAGCCTGAAAGGTGTCTCTAGTTTTACCTTGAGAAAACAAAGCCTTGGAGAGATTAAACTACCTGCCTATGGCTGCACAGGTTGCCATGGTCACCTGGATGCAAAGTCAGGTCTTCTGGCACAGCTACTTTGGAAATACTGTTTGTCTTGGATTTGAACTTGGGATCCAGGTTCACAACATGGCCCAGGGTAATGAAGGCAAGAGAAGGGGAGAGCTCAGGGACTTTGGGTTGAAATGACCCAGTTTCTGACCTTGCCCTGTAAACTAGCAATAGGACCAAGGGCAATAATCACAATCACCATGAGTTCTCACTTATCTTACTTATTTTTTTTAATTTATTTATTTTATTTTTTTCTGCCAGGAGACTTACTTATCTTACTTAATACATCGCTGCAATTGTACACTTATAGCCCCATTTTACAGATGAACTGATTGATATTAGCTGGCAACTTGCCCAAGGTTAAAGAATCAGAATCCTACTGCAGGGCTTTCTCATGCTTTTCCACCACCCATGCCATCCCCCAGTGGCTAGTCAAGTTCCCCTAATACTTCTGAGCTTCAGTTTCCTAACCTATAACTAGAGATAGCGGGAGCAATGGAAGGATTATGTGAGATGGCACATTAACTACTTGGGGCAGCGACCTTCCCCCTTTCCCTTCTGAGACCTCTTGCACCCAAGTGGAGCTTAAACCTGTAAGCACCAAGAAAATATACCTTAGATACATCCCATCATTGGAGCCACCAGCGCACTCTCTCTACCTGCCTTCTGATTGCCCAGCTTTCCTAATGGTGGGGGAACTAGGTCAGAATGGGGGCCAGTCCTGAAGTAGCCAGGCTACACCCTCAGGATGCTTGGCCCGGGGCAGCATTTCTTCGGAGTGAGGTCACCTGACTCTTTTCCCTATCCTATGAATGAAATATCAAAGGATGTTGTATGCACAGTAAGTCAAAGAGAAGGGGCTAAGGGCACCAGGTAACTCAGAAGCCCCAGGAACAGCCAAGTATCATTTGAACACCTACCACCAGGAATGCCCAGCCTCATCGAGCTCTTTGCTGGAGGCCAGGGGGCTGCAGACATTGAGGGGCTCGACTCACTCAGCAGGGTTTACAAATACTCCTTGGAATTGGAAAGCTTCCCATGTGGCAGGTGAGACTTCATAACAAGGTATCCCCAGGCTCAACCGAACATAGAGGAGGCATTCTGAGAGCAGAGAGGAAAGAGAGTGGGTGCTGGGGAAGGTCAGGAAAGGGGGTGGGGGTAGGGGGTGGGACTTCAGACAAAGGGAACAGCAATGTGAGAAGCCCAGAGATGACTGGGGAGGGAGGAGGGGGCACTGAAGAGATTGCTAGAGGCCTGGCTACCAGATCACAGTTGGGGGAAGCAGAGATAAAAGTTCCCACCTTCCAGGTGTCTGCCAGAGCTGTACACCCCAAGATCCCCTCTCCAGCTTCCTTTGCATCAACCTCTGGGTCAGCACCAATGGGTACTCACGCAGGTGTGGACCAGAGCTTTGCATTTATATGATCTCCAAATCTCTCTGGGGTTGGAGATTCTGCCACTCCAGGGGCTGTGGGGGGTCACAGGGAGGGATAAGATAGTTGTTGCCTCCAAAGTACTTAAGGGCTGGTCACACATACAGGAAGTTTTCTGAGGCATTAAGAATCCCCATA